TAGACTAATTTATAACAATATCTTCATTAATACAAACATTGTTATATGCAATATTGTAGTTAATGGATTCTCCAGGTCAAGAAAATGCTCTAATGTAATCATTCGTTAGGTGAAAATGCTAGGCACGTAGCAACTCTGTTATCGAAGTTCTTCATCCAAATTTACATGGAAAAACAAAGATTTGAAAAATAAAAAGAAAGAAATGAATTGATATGGAATATAAGATATTTTTTATTTGCTCGATTGTGAATATATCAAAAGGGTATATTTATTAAGTTTCTTTGCAATTCTCTGTTTTCAAATGGGTTTGCTGCTGGGGTAATCAAGTTTCATTCAACTCGAATATCGGATTTTATTACTTTAACCAAAGAAGTAATTTGGTCTTACTGGAGGAACATATTGATTAGTTTGTTCATCATCATCATCATAATTATTATTGTTGTTCTTGTTGTTGATACTTAATGCACTCTGTTTCGGAGAATCAAATCAGAGGTGGTGTTATTAATAATTTCTTGCTTCTGAACATATATGTCAAAGGTTAAACAAGGACTGTACTGTATGTGTCAGTTTTATAAATACTGATATGTTTTATGAAATTTTGTTTCTATGATATATTATATGTTAAGAAGAATTGTTAGAAGGATAATTCCTGAATGTTGTTGATGGTCTGCAAAGCACGATTCTGATATTCTGTATTTGTTAAAGTTCACGAGACCGTAAAAGAAGACAATGGTTCTGCAATTTCCAGTCCAAGAGAAAGTGTACATCCACTCAACAGGTTCAAGAGTTCTTTCAATTTGTACACTGCATCATCTCTTCCAAACAAGGCACTTTCATGCATGCATTTCTTTTCCTATCGGTTTAACTAATTTAACTGATTTTGTTGATTTTAACCCCTTTCAAAGATGAAGTCTACTACTTCATTTAGTAATGTTTGCCCATATACCAAACAAAATTGAAATCCATGTGTGGTAAGGATGCATGGAAGTTAATTTAATTAAGCCAAGCCATAAAACAGAGTGCTTCTACTTCAATTGGTTCCATCTCCACAAATTTCACACATCGCTTCAGTACCATGAAAGTAACACACACATTTCTTATTCCTAGGATCGAGCCGAGAGGGGAGAGGGAGAGAGAGAGAAAATCTTTCTCTTTGATCCTTTTTGTACCTCCAAATTTTATTATAAACCTTCTCTTATGGCAGAGGAATACTGTGGTTACACAATTAACAAAAATAAATACATTAAAATTTTAAAGATCATCAATACCAATTAAAAACTGTAAAGCCTATTGCTTTATAAAATAAAAAATACACAATACCAACCCAACAAAAAGAAAAGAAAGAAAAAGAAAAAAATACACGAAAAATAAATCAAAGAAACAAATAACCAGCGAAAAAGATAAGAGATTCTGGCATTCTAAAAGTTGTCTCACAACTCCCATCATATAAGAAGCTTAAAGTTGAATTCTATTTCCATAATTGTTTCTGACATTCATATGTGCCATTGAAGTTTCCCTTAACCGAGCTGACATATGCACTGAAAAATAGAGGACATAACCAACAGTACCAAGTTAGTAGACCGACGACTTAAGTTGCCATGTTTTGAAATTCTGATGAGTCATATGGTGACACAGATTTTAGGACAACACAACCTGAAAAGATAGAATGCTTCCTTACCAAAAATCTTCTCTGATATTTCACTCCACACTTGTGATCCATTCATTCATTTGGGAAATTTTCTTCATTAAGCTTTTTGAAATCTCACCAAGTCAGAAATTCCATTTTCTTTCTGATGCTGCATTTAGCAAAGGAGAGGAATAATGTGAGTTGACTGCAGCATACGGGGAGAAGATAAGATACAAAATGACATTTTGTCCTTTCTACATACAACGCTAAGAGAATGAAATTTGCAGAAAGCATGCAAGGTTCTTCTTCTTGTAATAATTGAGTAACGTGTCAAAATGAGAAGACTCTTTGCTCATATATCATCAATTTCCAAAAAACACAATAAAAATAATCCATTTAACAGAAATGACCATTAGTAAGGAGCATATGATCTGATTTCTTTTTTTTTTTTGGGCCAATATGATCTAATATAGCATAAGATCAGAAATGGAAAAGTGCAGAGAATTGCTAAGAATATAGGATTAATACAGAGGAAGTACCTGTTCAAGCATCACAAGCACTTTTCATGTGCTGTTCTAAGAAACTGCAGATTGGAGCTTCAGGAATCTTGCCATACAAAAAATACAAAACATTAGAAGGTCTTAATTATGCAATAATTTTTAGGAATGATAATAAATAAATAAAAAAGTTCAGCCGTTAATTTTTACCCCCAATGATGAAATAGCCTGAATAAATCTATTTAGCTCAGGTCATAAAATAATACAGTAAAAAATTATTTATATAAGACTATTTGTAGACTTACTAATAAAAGTATAACAACGTTATTTTTCTTTAAAGGTTACCAATTCTTTTGATAGAAATTTAGAAAATGTAGAAGAACAAATGCCCCTCTTTGCTTGTGTATAGGAAATCAAGATAATATAAAGAAGTAAAAAAAAAAAAATTAAAAGTATGAATAGGGAGAAAAAAAATTTCAAACTAGAATCAATTGCCACAATGAATACCGAAGTGTTGAAGAAGTGATAATATAGCTGATTGTTTGGTATGTTTTAAAATATTAAGTAAAGAGGGGTGTTTGTTCTGATTTAATTTATAAATCACCATTAGCAAGGAGTATATGATCTGACTTTTTTTTTTTTGGGCCAAATATAAAAGCTAAATCTATTGATGTAAACAGAGCAACAGAATGTGTTGTGATTCATAGCTGAAAACTAATAACTATAAATCACTAGAGATTTAATATGTAAGCGAAGAAGATCTTGAACATACAAATGCCCTTTAAGAAATGTCTCAGTAAAATAATTTGTATTTATTTATACTTACATGTGGAAAACAAAACAGACAGAAGAGATTCTCTTAATAAAAAAAATTATGAAATATTTAGATAGGATTTTTTGTCAAAAAATGGAAAGTAAAGGAAATTGCTAATTAATTAGCATGCGGCATTTAAACAGAGGAAGTGCGTACCTTTTCCTGAAGAAGCAGTATTAATAAATGATGTTGTTCTGCTCCAAGAAACTTGAGATTGTAGCTTTAGGAATGTCTGTCAAAAGAATCCATCATATGAGAGAGATGTAATTAAAGCGAGCATGCAATAATATAATTTGATGAATATAATGATAATAACTGAAAAACAAAGACAAAATGATGAATTATTAAAAACACGAATATTGAACATGTATGGGAGAGTAAAGTGGATGAGCTACCTTAGAGCAGAATGAGAGTCAAGCTTTGCGTATGGAGACATGAGGGATATGAGCAATTTTAGGCCAATCTGGTCCTGTCTCTTTTGACACCTCTCCTCCAGCAACGGACAATCTTGAATTGATAAATGAGAAAGGGATGGAGGGAAACCATCCTCTGACATGCCTTCAAAACTCATGTTTGGACGGTCTTCAAAGATAAAGAAGTAAGAAAACGGAGGTCAAGAAGACCCCTATAATTTATGCTTCTCAAGTTGCAACACCCCGAGAATGAAAGAGATTGGAGGCTGGACAGTAGCAAGCCCTCCTTAGGGAAGAATTCCCTATCTTCAAAATCATGATCACTAAATGAAATTTCATTCAAATTATAATAACCATCCTCATCCATACTCCAAGACAATAAGGAGATTCCCTCTTTGAAGCATGTGAATATAGGAAAATATACAAGGGGGTAAAAAGTGCCCATACCTGGCGGCATTAATTCCCTCCATGTGGGCACATCTTTTAGTGTAATCTTCTTACACCCCCCTAACCATGCACGTTCCATGCAAGAAGACTTGGGAAGTGTTATCTCCAAATTAAGACATCGCTCAATGTGTAATTCTTTTAAACAAGGAAGGTGTAGAGGAAGAGACTTTCTCAATTTAGGACAATCGATCATATAAAGATCTCAAAGGCATGGGAAACTCTCATCTTCCGGACAAAGATTCCATTCTTCCCATTCTCCATCTCATGGAAACTTAAATGTGAAAGGCAACGAAATGGAGCATTGGAGGAGCCATTCCCATAAAACTCTTCCCCTATCACCTTTATTCCATCCAATTCTCTAATATCAAGTTTCTCCAGGGAAGGTAGCTGCCCAAGTGGCGGCAAGTTCACACAGTTGGCAAAACTTGTCAAAGATAAAAGACACTAAATTGGGTAAAAAGTGTGAACCACCCAGCCAGTTTGAAAATTTGGTACCTCCATAACTATGAACAATGAGCACTTTTAAAGAATTATTTGGCTCAAGCCCTTCTAATACGTCTTTTTGATGATGTGGTGCTACTTCATGACTATATACATACCAACCATAATATTTTAGACATAATTTATTCAAATCCTTTTCTTTCAAATTGGCCTCTCTCAAATCTGTGGGATCGTTTATGAGCACCATAGATGAGATGGTCAGTGAACCCATTAAATGGCTCAAGGTGCCTAGTTCTTTCAAGCCTGTTCCTTCTTTCTTTGCCACAAAAAAATGATTCATTGTTCGGAGATGATTTAACTTTCCTATATGTTTTGGCATCTTTTCTATATGATAACAACCATCCAAGTTAAGATGACGCAAGTTGATGAGCTTGTGGAAATTTGATGGAAAACCCAATCAAGCGATGACAATTTCTTAATTTCAACGTTTGTAAATTAATCAACAAGCACATTGAATTTGGCAACTTTTCAATGGAAGTCCCAGAAAGATTTAGATAATGCAAGTGCTTTAAATTGCTAATATCATCTGCAAACTCTACAAAAGCCATACATCCTTCCAAAGATAACTCTCGTATGTACCTGAGATGAGAAAGTCTAGATATTATATCATCATTATGCTATTTATGAAGCTGGAATTTTCATACAATAGGACGAAACTACGTAATTGGCAGCACTTGAAACTCTCAAAATTTCCAAGATTTTCATTTGCCCCTAGATGAAAAGTAACGAGCCTTTGTTGAAATTTCTTGCACTCGACCAGCATCTAGCTGTACACAAAACTCTCCCATCATAGACTTTGCTAAATCGTTCAAAAGATCGTGCATCATGAAGCAATTGCCATTCTTTTCTAATGGTTCAAAAAATGATCTAGATTGTAGGTCATTGAAGATTTCATTACCCACTTCTTCAAAGCTCTTGCTTGTGTGAGCATAATGTAACAAACCTTCAGCCATCCATAATTGAATGAGAACATCCTTCTTTATCAAGTAATCTTTTGGAAAGATGGAACAAAATGCAAAGTAGCGCTTGATATCATAAGGTAAATAATGGTAGTTTAACCTTAAAGATGGGATTATATTGCTCTCATCCTCTGATAAGGACCAAATATCACCCTTCAAAATTGCATCCCAATATTGAGGAGTTGGTTTTGTGCCCAGCAAACTTCCCAATGTTTTTATTGCCAAAGGCAACCCTCCACACTTGCCAACAATTGTTCTACCAATTGATTCAAGTTCTGGATCAACACATTGTTTGCTAAGTGCATAGTTTGCAAATAACTCCCAACAATGTTATCTTGTAATGGCTCAAGACAATAAATATCTCTGGACCACATGACTTCTGCAACGTGTTTTTCACGTGTTGTAATGAGAATCTTACTTCCTGGAGCTCCATAGTTGAAAGGAGTTCGAAAGGCGTCCCAGATAGCATGATTCCGATTCCACACATCATCGAGAACCATGAAGAATTTCTTATCCTTCAACTTGTCCTTTAGTTGACGCTGATGTGGATTTAAATCATCTGACTGCTCAAGTTCAATTTTACTATCAAGTGATTTAAGAATTGCTTTTGTAGCTTGAACAGGATCGAACTCTTCGAAAATGCACACCCAAGCTCTGTGTTGAAATTCATCTATCATTCTTTTGTCTTCGTAAACAAGCCGTGTGAGTGTTGTCTTACCCATTCCACCCATACTTACGATGGCAATCACATCCACCGGGGATCCATTCCCACCCTCGCTGGGCGACATTAAAATATTGATTAGTTTCTCTTTATCAGAACCTCTACCAAATATATCAGCTTCATTTATCAAAGACAATTCTGGCAATCTCTTGAAAACTTTCCCCTTCACTCCCGCTGGAGTAAGTGCGCCAGAGCCATCCTTCAACCCCAGTTGCTTCCTCTTCTTTGTTAAGCAATCTAGGTAGTCGACAAGTGTCTGCATCCTTGGTTCAATTTGTTTTTCAAATGGGTTCACAATGGAAGTGGAGTAGTTGCGTAGCTTACCTATGTTAGGATGAAGTTGAAGTTGCAGCTTGCGTCGAGAGGCCTCGGTTGCAATCTCAAGCAGCAGATCCTCAGCTTGGAACACAGCATCTTTGAGCTCATCAAGCCAGCGCTTCACAGAAGGGTCTCTGTATTGCCTCTCCTCAGCATCTTCAATGACTTTGTTGAGACTGTTAAGGGTCATCTCTAGTTTTAATATTTTTTTTTAAAAAATTGTAGAAAATAGAAATCTTTACCAACAAAGTCTTTTAAAAAATTATAAAAATTATTTTTGAAATCTCTAGACTGTTAAGGCCCTTTTTATTTTTGAAAAATTATAAAAATTACAAAATGTTTTTTATTTTAAATAAAATTCAATGATTTAAAAAAATAAAAAATAAAATTACAAACTTGAGATATTATAACGAATATTAGGGAAAAATATATTAAGGCCCAGCCCGACGAAATTGCTCAGAAATTGGAATCCGACATGCAGAGTGATCCCCGTCTCCTTTTTCTTTAGGTGGGGCAACACTTTTCAAAAAGCAAAAGGAGCAATCAGCCAACGTCTGTTTCTTTTCTTTGTTTTTTCACACTTACATTTGCCGTTTTTTTTGGTCGAGAATTTACTTCTAACTTCCAAAGGTAAATTTACTTTTACTTTTAGAAACCATTTAAATTGGAATTTTGTGTTGATCTAGACTTCATCTGCAACAGTCAATTCTCAAACACAAAATCTTACGAAAAAACTTAAAACTAGGCCTAACTTAGAGATAATTGGTGTTGGTCACATATTTGTTTAATTATTTGGACAAATTTGACTTTAAATTATAAGATCAAGAGTATTTGAAAAAAAATCCTAATTTTTTGTTAATTTTTCAAATTAATATTTAAAAACAACGTTATGTGTCCCTTCTCATTAATTATAAAGAAATTAATTGTTAAGTCATATGACAATATGAGAGAAAATGTAGACTACGTAGCACAAAAAATAACAAATGTTACATTATAATTAACGAAAGGGGTACATTGTAACATTTTTAATCGTTAAAATATAAAATTATATAAAAAATATAAGTATGACCGAAAGGAGTAATAAATATACAATGTATTATGGCACACTAAATAAAATAAAAATAAATCATTTTGACCGAAACACCATTTACCTAATAAAAGTATACTCCCTCATGTCTTTGATATATGAAAAAATTTAATTAATTTTACACTCTTTTGAAAAATGATAGTTATATCCTAAATATTGTTAAAAAAAACATATAACTTTTCAATTTTTTTCTTTTTTATTATGTTAATTAAATGAAATGTTGGTTTCACACAATTACTGGGAAATTCTGGTTTCTTTTTTTCAAAACATGACTATCATTTTTCGCTTTTCCTACTTCTCAGTTCAGGAGTTATGAAGACATCTCAAATTGCATGATTCTGATTCCATACACCATAAAGAAGTTGGAGATTGTTGGTACTGAATTCTTTGGCTCAGGAGCATCTTCTTTCAATCTGAAGTTTTAGTGCTGCATTTATGCACACAAGAGAGGAATGACATGAGTTGACTGTAGCATATGGAGAGAAGATAAGACAGAAAATGACCTTTTCGTCCTTTCTGCATAGAAAATTATAAACATCGCAGAAAGCTTGCAAAGTTTGTTCTTGTTTACAGGAAGAGATATACCAATTCTTTTATTGAAATTTACAAAATATAGAAGAACAAATACCCTTGTTTGCGTGTGTATATACGTCACATAATAAAGCAAAAAAAAAAAAAACAAAGGACTAAAAATTAAGAGTATGAAAGAAATAGACAACAAATTTCAAAATGTCATCAATTTCCACAGTAAGTGTCGAAGGAGTGATGAAATTGTTAATTGTGTGATGTGTTTGAAAATATTGAGTACTGAAGGATAAACATACAATTGGACTGTGTGATATGTTTTTTCTGCATAATATAACTTTTCTTTACTATAAAGTTTAAAAGCCTTTCTATTGGTGTAAACAAAGCAACAAATTTAGGTTTGTGACTCTTATCTGATAACTACAAATCAATGCATATTTAAAATAATGAAACTAAAGATCAGCATCATCTTGAACATACAAATGACCTTCTAGAAATGTATTATCAAAATGCTTTTCATCTATTTATATTTTTATAAAGACTGCCTAAAAGGCGGGAGAGATAAAAAAGTTTAAAAAATATATTTAGATAGGGCTTTTGCAATTAAGTTGGAAGTGGATGTGGAGCTTTAAAAGAACAGCAGGAGCATAAAGTTAAAAGATCAGAAACGAAAATAATTTGAATAGCACAATGAAAACCAATTTAATGCTGTCAAAAGCAATAATTTGAATAACACAATGAGATTTTTCCCCCCTACAATAAACATAAACAGATATTCAGTGGCAAATATTAGAATCAATTTTAAATTCCATTATAGCCTTTCTTTCCTTTATCTTTCTGTCTCCAATTTGAGATTAATGTATGACCTTATTTTGCCTGTATATAGACCAGTTCGGCTGACTTGCTTGATTCATTCTGGAAAATTAACTTAGCGTCTTCATTGTTGGCGACAAATTAACTTGAAAATAAAACAATGTTTAAATAATAAAGGGTAAAAAGAGATAAAGGAAGAAGAAAATGAGACCACGCTATATAGCCACGATATATAGAGGTTCAGATTCAAATATTGAATCCTACATCTTGATTCTCAAGCACAATATGCTTGAGAATTTTATAATGAGAAGATAATCATAATACAAATTAGAATGTTGTCAATTACAAACTACTAACTTCTAACTAAGAACGTAGAAATAAACTTTTAAGACAATGAATCACTTGAAATGTAGTGATGACACTTTACAAGGCAACATTGAATAATAAAGTCTTGCTACAAATCAAAGAAAGTTCCGGCGAAAGAAAAATGGGGGAAAAAAAACCAATCAACTCCTACAAAATAGACAGAAGGAAATACAACAATGTAACAAGAGCAACAAATCTTATCTTATTATATGAGATCAATTATATGTATCGCACGATGTTATGTACTCCATCACCAACCAAATCTAGATGGAGCAAGTAAAATCAACTGGAAGGTTAGTTTAATTTCTGCAGAAGTACTATGTATATGAGCCATTGATGCTGGTTTGAATACTTCAATTGAGGTTGAGGAGCCTTTTCTTTTAATCTGAAATTGAAGCCAGAAATTCCCCCTTTTTTGGTCTGATGCTGCGTTTTGCGCAAAAAGAGAGTATTGGCATGAGTTGAGTGCAGCACATGGAGAGAAGATAATATAATGAAATGACTTTTCTGTCCTTTTTGCATACAAATTAAAAGGAAGAGCTTCACAGAAGCGTGTAAAGTTCTTGTCGATGTGTGTTTAAACATCTGAAGTATTGAAGTATATTTATTTTGGTCACCATTGGTAATATCTGATTTTGTTTCTTTTGGCTAAATATAAAAAGCTAATAAATCTAATGATGTAAACAGAGCAATAGAATATGGGTTGTGATCCATATATAACCATAAATCAATAGAGATTTTAATTGTAACTGAAGATAAATTGTCCCTCTCATTGTATTTTTTATGGAATGTTAAACATTTGCATTTTAATCTTTCTTTATAGCTACCTTGTCAATTTGTTAAGTTAAATGAATGCTTATCTTGTTGATTTATGAAATTGAGTTGAATTATAATTTAATTACCTATCTTTTTATAGGAACATTATATGACTCTAAAGAGGTCTAGTAGATCCTCTAATCAAGGAGAGCTCCTAGATATAGATCCACCTCTTGAAAAAGTAGAAGAAGACTATGCTGATGATATAGAATTATGGTTGAAAGCTGTGGGTGGTGTTAACAGGAAAGGACGAATTTTTGGTATTGGATCTGAGGCTCTTTCATATCATTGCTCTTGTTCTGTAGAGGATGCCTCTTATCATACATGACTCCACCCAAAATTTGAAAATGAGCTGCAAAAGCATGTAGATGCTTTGATAGAGATGAACAAAAATCTTGAGTCAATAATAAATGAGCAGCAACAAGAGCTTCAAAGTTGCCAAAAGAATATCAATATTTTGCTTAAGCGTATGCTGCATATGGAGGATGAAGATGAAGATGAAGATGATGAAGCTCATGCTTCTGTTTGATGTTGTTTAGTGATTATGATGTTATTTGACGACTTTAAATGCTTTTGAATGATTTCTCTATGCTTTGACATTTGAGTATGATTGCATCAAATTTTAAGTACTAAATGAGATATTTTGTTCTAAATGCTTTAAGTTAAATTTCTTATAATTTTACTTATTTTATATATAAAATTATTGTTACAGGTTGAGATTGTAAAATAATGATGGGGGAAATAACAATTGAAATTAAATAAATAATTAAAATTTTTTTCTTTCAAATATAAATTTGTAACGGATTTGTGACAAAAAAGCTCTTCACAGAATTTGAAACGCATTTGCGACAGAATTTCCTTCACAAATATTGGCACGCGTTTGCAATGAAAATTCCTTCACAAATTTTTGGGACAGATCTATGACACTATAATCTATCCCAAATTAGGGACACCATTGCGACATTAGGATCCTTCGCAAATTAGGGACAAAATATTCGTCTCAAATTGGGATAGAATTTCAAATTCCATCGCAAACAATTTGCAACCAGCAAAATAGTGACGAAAGGTTATCCATCACAAATTCCGTCCCAAATTACATTTGTGATGACAATTCCGTCCCAAAATTAGGATAAAATCCGTCACAAAATGGATGTTTTTTGGTAGTGGATCAACATCTTGAATGTATATATGACCTTCAAGAAATGTCTCTGTAAAATACCGTGTATTTATTCATAGTTAAACGGGGACAACAAAATATTTTTTTAATTAATAAAAAAATTATGAAATTTTTAGATAGGAGTTTTTGTTAGGAAATGGAAAGTAATGGAAATTGTTAATTAGGCATGCGTCATTTATATAGAGGAAGTGCGTACCTTTTCCAGAATAAGCAGTATTAATAAATGATGTTGTTTTGCTCCAGGAAACTTGAGACTGTAGCTTTAGGAATGTCTATCCAAAGAAGAGTCGACATGAGAGAGATGTAATTAAAGTGAGCATGCAATAATATAATTTTGATGAATATAATGATAATAACTGAAAAACAAAGGCAAAATGATGAATTATTAAAAAAACATGAATATTGAACATGTATGGGAGGGTAAAGTGGATGAAGTACCTTTGAGCAGAATGAGAGTCAAGCTCTACGTATGGAGGCATGAGGGATATGAGCAATTTTAGGCCAATCTAGTGCTGTCTGATTTTTAAACCTCTCCTCCAACAACGAACAATCTTCAATAGATAAATGAGAAAGGGATGGAGGGAAACCATTTTCTGGCATGCCTTCAAAACTCATGCTTGGACAGTCTTGAAAAGATAAGGAAGCAAGGGAATATTGGAGGTGGAGAAGACCCCTGCAATTTAATCTTCTCAAGCTGTGACAACCTGAGAATGAAAGAGATTGGAGGCTGGACGATAGCAAGCCCTCCTCAGGGAAGGACTCCCCATCTTCAAAGTCATGACCACTAAATGAAATTTCTTTCAACTTACATACACCCCTGCCTCCTTGACGTCGCCGTATTAACCCTCCATGTAGGCACATCTTTTATTGTAATCTTCTTACACTCCTTTAACTCTATAACTTCCATGCAAGAGGATTTGGGAAGTGCTGTCTCCAAATTTCCACACCAGCGGATGTCTAACTTTTTTAAACGAGGAAGGTGTGGAGGTAGAGACTTTGTCAGACTTGGGCAACACCATATATGAAGCTCTTGAAGGCACGGGAAACTCTCATCTTCCCGACAAATATTCCATTCTTCCCATTCTCTCATCTCTTTAAAACTTAAATATGAAAGGCAACGAAATGGAGCATTGGAGGAGCCATTCTCATAAACTCTTCCCCTATCACCTTTATTCCATGCAATTCTGTAATCTCAAGTTTCTCCAGAGAAGGTAGCTGCCCAAGTGGCGGGAAGTTCACACAGTTGGCACAACGTGTCAAAGATAAAGACACTAAATTGGGCAAAAAGTGTGAACCACCCAACCAGGATGGAAATTTGGTACCTCCGTAATGTTCAACAATGATCTCTTTTAAACTATTATTTGGCTCAAGCCCTTGTAATGTGTCTTCTTGATGTGGTCCTGCTTCACGACTATAGTCATACAACTTATAATTTAGACATAATTTATCCAAATGCTTTTCTTTTAAATTGGCATCTCTCAAATCCATGGGATTGTTTATGCATGCTATATGTGAGATAGTCAGTCAACCCATTAAATGGTTCAAGGTACCTAATTCCTTCAAACCTGACCTTCCTTTCTTTGCCACAACAAAATGATTCATTGTCCGGAGATGATTTAACTTTCCCATATGTTTTGGCATCTTTTCTTTGAAATAACAACCATCCAAGTCAAGATGACGCAAGTTGATGAGCTTGTAAAAATTTGATGGAAGCTCAACCAAGCAACGACAATCCCTTAATTTCAATGTTTTTAAATTAACTAGCAAGCATATTGAATTTGGCAATTTTTCAATTGAAGTCTCAGAAAGATCCAAATAATCCAAGTTCTTTAAATTGCTAATATCATCTGCCAACGTTTTGAAACTTTGACATCCCGCCAAACATAACCCCCGTATGTACTTGAGATGAGAAAGTCTAGATATTATATCATCATTTGTGCCATGCATGATATCAAAGTTTTTGAAACTTTGACTTCCCGCTGAATATACCCCATCTATGTACTCGAGATGAGAAAGGGATCTAGATATAATATCATTAATCATGTCATGCATGGAGTTGAAATTTTCATGCAATAAGATGAAACTACGTAATTGGTGGCATTGGAAATTTTCAAAAGTTTCAAGATTTTCATTTGCTTTGCATCTATATGAAAAGTAGCGAGCCTTTGTTGAAATTTCTTGCACTCGACCAACCTCTTGCTGAACACAAAACTCTCCCATCACAGACTTTGCTAAATCGTTCAAAAGATCATGCATCATGAAGTAATTGCCATTCTTTTTTGATGGTTCAAAAAATGACCTGGATTGTAGGTCATTGAAGATTTCGTTGCCCACTTCTTCAAAGTTCTTACTTGTGTGAGTAGAATGTAACAAACCTTCAGCCTTCCACAACTGGATAAGAACATCCTTCTCTATCAAGTAATCTTTTGGAAAGATGGAACAAAATACAAAGCAACGCTTGAGATTAGAAGGTAAATAATGGTAGCTCAGCCTTAAAGATGGGATTATCTTGCTCTCGTCCTCTGATAAGGACCAAATATCACTCTTCAAAATTTCACCCCAATATTGACGAGCTGGTTTTGTGCCCAGCAAACTTCCCAATGTTTTTATTGCCAAAGGCAACCCTCCACACTTGCCAACAATTGTTCTACCAATTGATTCAAGTTCTGGATCAATACATTGGTCGCTAAATGCCTGGTTTGCAAATAACTTCCAAGGATATTTATCTTGTAATGGCTCTAAGCAATGAATATATCAGGACCGCATGACTTCTGCGACGCGTTTTTCACGTGTTGTAATGAGAATCTTACTTCCTGGAGCTCCACAGTTGAAAGGAATTCGAAAGGAGTCCCAGATGGTATGATCCCGATTCCATACATCATCAAGAACCAAGAAGAATTTCTTATCCTTCAACTTGTCCTTTAGTTGACACTGATGTGGATCTAAATCATCTGATTGTTCAAGTTCAATTTTACCATCAAGTGATTTAAGAATCGCTTTTGTAGCTTGAACAGGATCAAACTCTTCGGAAATGCATACCCAAGCTTTGTGTTGAAATTCTTCTGTTATCCTTTTGTCTTCGTAAACAAGCCGCGCAAGAGTTGTCTTACCCATCCCACCCATACTTGCGATGGCAATCACATCTTCTGGGGATGGATTCCTACCCTTGTTGGGTGGTATTAAAATCTTGATTAGTTTCTCTTTATCGGGACCTCTACCAAATATATCAGCTTCATTGATCAAACATGATTCTGGATATCTCTTGAAAACTCTCCTATTCACTCCCCCTTGAGTGAGTATGCCAGAGCCATCCTTCAACCTCAGCTGCTTCCTCTGATTTTCTAAGAAATCTAGGTACTCTACAAGTTTCTGGACCCTTGTTCCGATTTCCTTTTCAAAAGATTTCACAACGGAAGTCAAGTGGTTGCGTAGTTTACCTGTGGTGGGATGAAGTTCAAGTTGGAGCTTGCGTCGAGAGGCCTCGGTTGCAATCTCAAGCAGCAGATCCTCAGCCTGGAACACAGCATCTCTGAGCTCATCAAGCCAGCGCTTCACATAAGGGTCTCTGTATTGCCCCTCCTCAGCATCTTCAATGACTTTGTTGAGACTGTTAAGGGTCACGTCCAGTTTTTTCAGAAAGAAGCCATCCTGCAGCTTTTTGACTCAGAAGAAGCCAAGAATGTCACGAGAAGCCAATCTCTTAAGAAGTGCCTCAATGGCGGGGAGAGAAACGCTCCAACCAGCACCTCAGCCATGGCTTGTTATGTAAAACTTTGCACAAGCAAGTATTGAGCAGCAACGGATGATGAAAACCGAGGAGAGATGGAAGAAGAAATTAAGGTTCGTTGGTGGAAGGGTTGTCACTTTGTTGTTTGGTTGTTGGGAATTACTCCGAAATTGAAGTCAGAGATAATGTCTGCGTGGTGCATATTGGTTTGCTTTTCCGCAAAGACTTTTCATAATTCCGTTCTGCTACTGCTACCTGCCGGCTACTATATTCTTGTTTTCACATTCTCATTCTCATATGGACGGGGGTGGATAATTTTGATTCCAGCATATTATTACTTTTAACCCAAATGAAGTGGCTCCTGTGATTGGTTTTTTTTAAAATAAAAATAAAAAAGTGCCCATTTGAGTTACTACGGTTGGAGTCATGCATGTTTAATAATTTCTCTAATTTTTTGGATAGGGTTAATAATTTTCTATGAACCTAACTCATGTTTTATCTTGAATAACGAAATATTTTGACATATTTTATCTTGTAATGAAATATACGTATGGATGCCTATATATCTGGGTTCAATATATGAAAAATGCAGATCAAATTAATGATGTCTCAATATTTAATTGAAAGCTTTTTCATCCACATGATATGTTATGAGACATATTCAGACCAAGATACTGATTGAGTTTATCTTATTCCAACCCTATTCTAAATCTAATAATTTTACAAGTATTAAATTTTTGGGACTTTTGCAAATATAACCAATCTTAAATGATCAAATCAAGCAAATAGTGTAACATTTATTATATATTGTATTATGGATGATTTATTTTTTTAATTTAATAATAAACTCTTTGTATATTAATGTAAACTAGCCATACTCTCAAATTTTTAAAAAGTTAATTTATAGTTTTTGAGCACAAGATTTTTTTTTGGGCCAATGGGCCAATTTATCCTAATTTTTTTTGCCTATTTTAATAAGGAAAAATTATATTAAAACCTTACACAAAGAAATTAATTATTGTAAGGCCCATTGATAATTGAATTAAACTGTATCATCTAGTTTAGTTTAATTGTCAATAGATCTTGCAATAATTAATTTTTTTATGTGAAATTTGATTGTAATTCTTTCTTTTAACAAGACCCTATTACACTGATAACTATTTTCTTGAGATTAAGAAATTAGTTAAAATTATATAAATGTAGGAATTTTACTTTACAAAAACAGTGTGATAGTTTTATTGGATGAAAATGAGAGATATAGAAAAAAAATATTATTCAAACTAAGAGAAAGAGATAATAGTATTTTATAAAAATAAATCACAAATGTTTTATTAAATTCTATAAAGGATCTCGTACAAGGTAATTAATGAGTAGGATTTTATAAATAAAACCAGGGAAGCAATAAAATGCAATTTTGAGTTATTACGTTTGGGTGTCTCGTTCAATAATTTTGACTCTATCAATTTCGTAAACGAGTCAATTTTGTTCACTTGGTTGGTTGGTAATTACTGTGAAATTGAAATTAAACTTCCAACTAATATAGATAGGGTTCATCAATTGTACTTGTCACATATGGGTCAATTTTCTGAGACAGCTCATTTTCGTTCAAATATGCCAATTTCTCCAATTCTATTCCATGACTGGGTCAATATCTTCTTCGTAAATACAAATATTGTTATATGCAATTGTCGGCGCTGGTTTTTTTTTTTTCCTGGCTGTGCATGTGTGTGAGAGGAGCTTATTTTCAAGCAATGCAATAAACCTGACTCTAAATCAAACAACGAGTTCCTAGGATCCTTTGGCACAATATTGCATGCACTCAAAAATTTCAAAAACAAAAAATTGAAGCAATAGAGAAGGAGCAAAATGCAAGAACTACATAATAGGAACGCACATGGTATTATTACCGTTCTCACATAAATGAAAAAAAAAATGTAATATGGAAAAATAGAAGAAAAACGTCGAAGCTGCAATGCTACTGTGCTATTAGATGCTTTTTGCTCTCCTGTCCTGTCATGTAGGGGATTTGCTACACCCTAATGAATGCATGCTAATGTAGAGGAATTGAATATAATTTTCATAAAGTGTCTCTATATTGTCTGCGTGTTCGAGCGTTGAAGAGATTGGAGAGAGTACATATCAAAGTGATTGTTTTTCTCTAGCTCCTTATTACACTCTTCTGGGACAACTTCGTCTAGTTTTATCCAAACTTTTTATATTGCACCAAAATCATTAATTGTGAAGGGGATAATTTGGACTAATTTAAATAAGCTCAAAAAACTTAAATGAAGCTTGAGAGATTAAAAAATTTTCTTTACTTTAAACTTATTTGGATCATTAAAATGAGCTTAAAGAATTTAGATCAAACCCAAATTCGAACAAGCTTAATTCAAATACTCAAATTTCCTTTTTTAGTATTAATAACATGAAATTAACATTCACTTCAATTTTCATTTAGCCTTCATAAGTCCTCTTCCAAACTTTTATTTGACATATTTGCGCTCCTAAATAAAGTTTTAATGCTATGATAATTATTTGTTTTGAATATTTTGTAAAATATTTTAAAAATAAACACAAGAGGTTAATTTATATGCTTTCATTTTCATTTTTTTATGCTTGGTCTCACTTTAATAAGGATGGGAGAAAAGGTGTATTGTAGTGTTCTTCTACTTGAAAAATCTTAATTTTTAATGTAAAAATTAAAATTGGCTAAAAATAGAGAAAAATAATAGCAAAAATGATAATTAGGGACCTTGTAAGAACATTAATAATAATTATAGACCCTAAATTATTGAAATATCAATAATAAATCATGATCTTTACTTGTAATTAAAAAAATATAAATAATAAATCAAAAAATTTATTAAATATACTTAGGATTATTTGTAACGTCAATTGAACATTTACAAAAATGAATTGTGAATCTTAATTTTTTTACTTTCAATATATCTATAAATAATTTGGAAAATCAAGTAAATATATTTGGGATTATTTGTAACCTTAGTTAAAAATTTATGAGAGTCAGTTGTGAATTACAAGCCGATCATTTATGATTTTTTTGTTATCAATATATAGATAAATCACTTAAAAATATACTAAATATACTTGAAAGTATTCGTAACATTTGTTAAGAATTTATGATAGTCAGTTATTAATTTCAAGCCAATTACTTTTCCATCATTTGAAAAATCAATAAAAAATAATTGAAAATTTTTGTAACATTAGTTAGAAATTTATTAAAGTTTGTTGTGAATTTTAAACCTATCAACAAAAGATAATTTATTGTAAGTAAAGATCATGGTTTATTATTGTAATTTAAATAATTTAAAGTTTATAATTGTCATTAATGTTCTTATGAAGTCTCTAATTGTCATTTTTTTAAAATAATATAATATTTAACAATTCAGGTATTCAGACCAAGCTTACCTTATGAATTTTTTCACATTTCAAATATTTTCAATTCAATTCAAATAACTTTAGTCTGTCTAAATTATCCACTCTAATTAGTTGCATGCTCGGGTCAATGCCATGTAATAAAGCTGACTGCTATATTGCCCCCGAATCAAATCAAATCAAACGCTTTTTTAAAGATTAGACTAATTTATAACAATATCTTCATTACTACAAATGTTATCATGTGCGATATTATAGTTAATGGATTCATCAAGTCAAGAAAATGCTCTTATGTAATCATTCGTTAGGTGAAAATGCTTGGCACGTAGCAACTCTATAATTGAAGATCTTCATCCAAATTGTACAGCGTGGGCAATCAAAGATTTGAAAAATAAAAAGAAAGAAACGAATTGATATGGAATATATGATATTTTTATTTGCTCGATTGGAATATATCAAAAGGCTAAATTTATAAACTTCCTTTACAATTCTCTGTTTTCTAATGGGCTTGCTGCTGGGGTAATCAAGTTTCATTCAACTCGAATATCGGATTTTATTAATTTAACCGAAGAAGTAATTCGGCCTTATCAGAGGAACAAATTGATTGGTTTGTTCATAATAATAATGATAATAATAATAATAATTTCTCCACATATATGTCAAAGGTTGAACGAGGACTGTACCGTGTGTTTGTATGTGTTAGTTTTATAAATATTGGTATGTTTTATAAAATTAGTTTTTTATGATATATATTGGATGTTAAGAAGAATTGTTGGAAGGATAATTCTTGAATATTGTTGATGGTCTGCAAAGCACGATTCTGATATTCTGTATTTGTTGAAGTTCACAAGATTGTAAAAGAAGACAATGGTTCAGCAATTTTCCAGTCCATGAGAAAAGTCCACATCCACTCAACAGGTTCAAGAGTTCTTTCAATTTGTACGCTGCACCATCTCTTCCAAACAAGACACATTCATGCATGCATTTCTTTTCCGATCGGTTTAACTGATTTCATTAACTGATTTAATTGATTCAGTAATGTAGGCCTATACACCAAACAAAATTGAAATCCATGTGTGGTAAGGATGCATGGAATTTAATTTAATTAAGCCAAGCCATAAAACAGAGTGCTTCTACTTCAATTGGTTCCATCTCCACAAATTTCATACATCACTTCAGTACCATAAAAGTAGCATACACATTTCTTATTCCTAGGATTAAGTTGGAGAGGGGAGAGAGAGAAAATCTTTCTCTTTGATCCCTACCTCCAATTTTATTAATAAACCCTCTCTTATAACGGAGGAATACTGTGGTTACACAATCAACAAAAATAAATACATCAAAATTTTAAAGATCATCATTACCAGCTAAAAACTATAAAGCCTATTACTTTCTAAAATAAAAAATAAACAATACCAACCAAACAAAAAAAAAGAAAAAGAAAAAAATACACGAAAAATAAATCAAAGAAACAAATAACCAGCAAAAAAAAAAAAAGAAGAGATTCTGGCATTCTAAAAGTTGTCTCAACTCCCATCATATGAGAAGCTCAAAGTTGAATTCTATTTCCTTAATTGTTTCTGACATTCATATATGCCACATGAAGTTTTCCTTAACTCAGCTAGCATGTGCACTGAAAAATAGAGGACATAACCAACAGTACCAAGTTAGTAGACTGACGAATTAAGTTGCCATGTTTTGAAATTCTTAGAAGTCATATGGTGACAGATTTTAGGACAACACAACTTGAAAAGATATAATGTTTCCTCACCAAAACTCTTCTCTGATATATTTCACTCCACACTTCTGATCTATTCATTCATTCATTTGAGAAATTTCCTTCACTCTGTTTTTTGAAATCTCACCAAGCCAGAAATTCCATTTTCTTTCTGATGCTGAATTTAGCAAAGGAGAGGAATAATGTGAGTTGAGTGCAGCATATGGGAAGAAGATAAGATGCAAAATGACATTCCCGTCCTTTCTGCAAATAACACTAAGAGAATGAACTTTGCAGAAAGGATGCAAGGTTCTTCTTGTTGTAATAATTGAGTGACATGTCAAAATGAAAAGACTCATAAAAGCACCAATTCTTTTGATAAAAATTAAAGAAATCTAGAAGAAAAAATACCCCTCTTTGCTCGTATATAATCAATTTCCAAAAACACGAGAGATTATCAATTTAACAGAAATGACCATTAGTAAGGAGCATGTGATCTGATTTCTTTTTCTTTTTTTTTTTTTGGGCCAAATATGAACTAATATAGCATATGATGAGAAATGGAAAAGTGCAGAGAATTGCTAAGCATATAGGATTAATACAGAGGAAGTACCTTTTCAAGCATCACAAGCAGTTTTCATGTGCTGTTCTAAGAAACTGCAGAATGGAGCTTCAGGAATCTTGCCATACGATAAATACAAAACATTATAAGGTCTTAATCATGCAATAATTTAGAGGAATGATAATAAATGAAAAAAAATTCAGCCGTTAATTTTTACCCACAATGATGAAATAGCCTGACTAAATCCATTTAGCTCAGGTCATAAAATAATACAGTAAAAAAAAAACTATTTATATAAGACTATTTATTGACTCACTAATAAAAGTATAACAACGTTATTTTTCTTTAAAGTTCACCAATTGATAGAAATTTAGAAAATGTAGAAGAACAAATACCCTCTTTGCTTGTGTATAAAAAATCAAGATAATATAAAGAAGTAAAAAAAATTTAAAGTATGAATAGGAAAAAAAAAAACAATTTCAAACTAGAATCAATAGCCAATGAATACCGCAAGTGTTGAAGAAGTGATAATATAGCTGATTGTTTGATATGTTTTAAAATATTAAGTAAAGAGGGGTATTTGTTTTGATTTAATATATAAATCACCATTAGGAAGGAGTAGATGATCTGATTTTTTTTTTTTGGTTAAATATAAAAGCTAAATCTATTGATGTAAACAGAGTAACAGAATGTGTTGTGATTCATAACCGAAAACTGATAACTATCAATCACTAGAGATTTAATATGTAACTGAAGAAGATCTCGAACATACAAATGACCTTCAAAAAATGTCTCAGTAAAATACTGTGCATTTATTCATGCAGAAACGGGGACAACAAAACACGGAGGAGAGATTTTTTTAATAAAAAAAATTATGAAATATTTAGAGAGGATTTTTTGTTAGAAAATGGAAAGTAGTGGACGTTGTCGAGAAGGCATGCGGCATTTGTAAAGAGGAAGTGCGTACCTTTTCCAGAATAAGCAGTATTGATAAATGATGTTGTTCTGCTCCAAGAAACTTGAGATATTAGCTATAGGAATGTCTATCCAAATTAAGAAGAGTCCATATGAGGAGATGTAATTAAAGTGAGCATGCAATGATATAATTTGATGAATGATAATAACTGAAAAAAACAAAGACAAAATGATGAATTATTAAAACATGAATATTGTCCACGTGTGGATGAATTACCTTTGAGCAGAATGAGAGTCAAGCTCTGCGTATGGAGACATGAGGGATACGAGCAATTTTAGGCCAATCTGGTGCTGTCTGATTTTTACACCTCTCCTCCAACAACGAAACAATCTTGGATAGATAAATGAGAAAGGGATGGAGGGAAACCATTTTCTGGCATGCCTTCAAAACTCATGTTTGGACAGTCTGGAAAAGATAAGGAAGCAAGGGAATGAAGGTGGAGAAGACCCCTGTAATTTAATCTTCTCAAGTTGTGACAACCTGAGAATGAAAGAGATTGGAGGCTGGACGGCAGCAAGCCCTCCTCAGGGAAGGACTCCCCATCTTCAAAGTCATGATCACTAAATGAAATTTCTTTCAACCGATTTTCACCCAAACCATATACCAAGACAATAAGGTGATCTTCTCCACGATGCCTCTGAAGAGTGGTAAATCTGGTAGGGTGGAAAGCATGCCTCCTCGATCTCGCCGTGATAATTCCCTCCATGTGCGCACATCTTTTACTGTAATCTTCTTACAGCTCCTCAACCATATACGTTCCGTGCAAGAAGACATGGGAAGTGTTGCCTCCATATTTACAGCCAATTATGGATAACTTTTAAACGAGGAAGGTGTGGAGGTAGAGACTTTCTCAATTTAGGCCAATTATATATATGAAGCTCTTGAAGGCACGGGAAACTCTCATCTTCCCGACAAATACTCCATTCTTCCCATTCTTCCATGTCATAAAATATTAAATATGAAAGGCGACGAAATGGAGCATTGGAGGAGTCATTCCCATGAAACTCTTCCCCTATCACCTTTAGTCCATGCAATTTTGTAATCTCAAGTTTCTCCAGAGTAGGTAGCTGCCCAAGTGATGGTAAGTTCACACAGTTGGCACAACGTGCCAAGATAAAGACACTAAATTGGGTAAAAAGTGTGAACCACCCAACCAGGTTGGCAATTTGGTACCTCCGTAATATTCAACAATGATCTCTTTTAAATTATTATTTGGCTCAAGCCCTTCTAATATGTCTTCTCGATGTGGTCCTGCTTCACCATTATAGTCATACCACTTATAATTTAGACATATTTATCCAAATGCTTTTCTTTTAAATTGGCATCTCTCAAATCCATGGGATTGTTTATGTACTCCATATGCGAGATGGTCAGTGAACCCATTAAATGGTTCAAGGCACCTAGTTCCTTCAAGCATGCTCCTCCTTTCTTTGCCACAACAAAATGATTCATTGTCCGGAGATGATTTAACTTTCCCATATGTTTTGGCATCTTTTTATGGAATCACAACCATCCAAGTCAAGATGACGCAAGTTGATGAGCTTGTGAAAATTTGATGGAAAACTCAACCAAGCAATGACAATCCCTTAATCTCAATGTTTGTAAATTAATTAGCAAGCACATTGAATTTGGCAATTTTTCTATTGAAGTCTCAGAAAGATCCAGATAATGCAAGTGCTTTAAATTGCCAATATCATCTACCAACTCTTGGAAATTTGTACATCCCGCCAAAGATAACTCTCGTATGTAATTGAGATGAGAAAGTCTAGATAGTCTATCATTTTCGTCAAAAAATACGTAGCCATCCAATAGGATGAAACTACGTAATTGGTGGCATTTGAAATTCTTAAAAGTTTCCAGATTTTCAGTTGCTCTGCGTCTAAATGAAAAGTATCGAGCCTTCGCTGAAATTTCTTGCACCCGACCAACCTCTAGCTGAACACAAAACTCTCCCATCACAGACTTTGCTAAATCATTCAAAAGATCATGCATCATGAAGTAATTGCCATTCTTTTTTGATGGTTCAAAAAATGACCTGGATTGTAGGTCATTGAAGATTTGTTGCCCACTTCTTCAAAGTTCTTACTTGTTTGAGCAGAATGTAACAGACCTTCAGCCATCCACAACTGAATAAGAACATCCTTCTCTATCAAGTAATCTTTTGGAAAGATGGAACAAAATGTAAAGCAACGCTTGAGATTAGAAGGTAAATAATGATAGCTCAGCCTTAAAGATGGGATTATCTTGCTCTCGTCCTCTGATAAGGACCAAATATCACTCTTCAAAATTTCACCCCAATATTGTGGAGTTGGTTTTGTGCCCAGCAAACTTCCCAATGTCTTTATTGCCAAAGGCAAGCCTCCACACTTGCTAACAATTGTTTCTACCAATTGATTCAAGTTCTGAATCAACACATTGGCCGCTAAATGCATGGTTTGCAAATAACTCCCAACAATATTCATCTTGTAATGGCTCCAGGCAATAAATATCTCTGGACCACATGACTTCTGCGACACATTTTTCACGTGTTGTAATGAGAATCTTACTTCCTGGAGCTCCAGATTTGAAAGGAATTCGAAAGGAGTCCTAGATAGTATGATCCCGATTCCATACATCATCAAGAACTAAGAAAAATTTCTTATCCTTCAACGTGTCCTTTAGTTGACGCTGATGTGGATCTAAATCATCTGATTGTTCAAGTTCAATTTTACCATCAAGTGATTTAAGAATCGCTTTTGTAGCTTGAACAGGGTCAAACTCTTCGGAAATGCATACGCAAGCTTTGTGTTGAAATTCTTCTGTTATCCTTTTGTCTTCGTAAACAAGCCGCGCAAGAGTTGTCTTACCCATCCCACCCATACTTGCGATGGCAATCACATCCACTGGGGATCCATTCCCACCCTCGTTGGGCGACATTAAAATATTGATTAGTTTCTCTTTGTCAGCATCTCTACCAAGGATATCATCTTCATCTATCAATGACGATTCCGGCAATCTCTTGAATACTTTCCCCTTCACAATCACTCCTCCTTGAGTCAGTGCGCCAGAACCATCTTTCAACCCAGCTCATCCCTCTGTTTTGCTAAGCATTCAAGGTAGTCGACAAGTTAATGGATCCTTGGTTCGACTTGTCTTTCAAATGAATTCACAATGGAAGTGAAGCAGTTGCGTAGTTTACCTGTAGTGGGATGAAGTTCAAGTTGGAGCTTGCGTCGAGAGGCCTCGGTTGCAATCTCAAGCAGCAGATCCTCAGCCTGGAACACAGCATCTCTGAGCTCATCAAGCCAGCGCTTCACATAAGGGTCTCTGTATTGCCTCTCCTCAGCATCTTCAATGACTTTGTTGAGACTGTTAAGGGTCACGTCCAGTTTTTTCAGCAAGAAGCCATCCTGCAGCTTTTTGACTCGGAAGAAGTCAAGAATGTCACCAGAAGCCAATCTCTCAAGAAGCGCCTCAATGGCGGGGGTGAGAAACGCTCCAACCAGCACCTCAGCCATTGCAATTTTCTGTAAAAGTCAGCGCAAGGTATTGCAGAGGAAAGAAAGATGGAAACTGGAGAAAGAAAGATGGAAGAGGAAAGTGAGGATAGTTGATACTTTGGGTCGAAGGATATATTGACGAAATTGCTCAGACATTCGAATCCGACATAATGAGTGATTCCCTTTCTTTTCTTTTTAGGTGGGGCCACACTTTTCAAAAGCAAAAGGTACAAACAGCCAACGTCTATTTCTTCTCTTTGCTATTTTTACGTTTACTTCCCCTTTTAGAAGCCATCTTAAATTGGAATTTTGTGTTGATTTAGACTCCATCTATAATGCTCAATACTCATACACAAAATCTTATTAAAAACTTAAACTAGGCCTAACTTAGAGATAATTGGTGTTAGGTCACATATTTGTTTAATTATTTGGACAATTTTGACTTCAAATTATAAGATCAAGAGTATTTGAAAAAAAAAAACCCTAATTTTGTGTGTGCCATTTTTTCAAATTAATATTTAAAAACATCTTTTGTGTCCCCTCTCATTAATTATGAAGATATTAATTGTTAAGTCATATGATAATATGAGAGAAAATATAGACTTCATAACACAAAAAATAACAAGTGTTACGTTGTAATTAACGAAAGGGGCACATTGTGACGTTTTTAATCGTTAAAATATAAAATTACATATCTCTGTGTGTGTGTGTGTGTGACCAGAAGGAGCAATAAATATACAATGTATTATGAGATACTAAATAAAATAAAAATATAATTAACAGCAGGGGTGAGTAATGCTCCAGCCAGCATCTCAGCCATTCTTGTTCTGTAAAAGTGAGCACAAGGCATTGAGCACCAAGCGCGAGAGAGAGAGAGAGAGAGAGAAGGAAGAAGAAAGCTAAGTGAGGTTCTCGTTGATGTTTCATTCATATTATCAGTCAAAATGGTCTGCGCACCGGAGTCACATGCAAACTGAGCAGCGCAATGCTAATCAATTAAGATTAGGATTATTATAGTAGTAGGTGCTTTGTTTAAGGTAATTGCAGCTTAATCAAGCTCCCGTGCCATTTGATTCCTGATGAGAGACTCTCTTTGTGGCCGAACTCTTTTGTCTGTGAGTGATGTTGACATCAATATTCAATATTAATGCGTGCGTACTCTTCTCCAGCATGTTGCTTCAAAAATTTATTAATCAATATATAATCATGTTTCACGAAGTCCCGGAATTTTATAATCCCAAATTTCATAAAAATGAATTCTACGCCAACTGATAATATTAGTTATATCAAATTTCAACATTAACAAGCCCCCATCCACAAGGTTTGATTCATCATCTATTGAATGCCCTCCCACTTTACTCGACTAGTAATATTATTATTTTGGCCAAAAAAAAAACAACTATTTTCCACTTGGCTTGCAGCGTGTTTGGATAGATCGTGCAATCAATTTTTGAGGCAAAATAATTGATTTAAGTAAAATTACCCAAACAATAAAAAAAATTGATAATTAATTATTGAGTTAGAATTATGTTTTTAAATAAGCTATAGGAGGTTGTTTATAAATTTAATTTTACTGTTAAATGATATAGTTTACTTTTTAAATAAAGTTTAACAAATTTAATAATATTAAATATAATTTTGTCAATAATTTAGTTTTAAAAAGTAATGTCTTTTATGATAATTTGTACACTAAAATTAATTAAAAAAACAGTATACAAATAGACTATCTTATAACATAATTAATTATAATCAAAATCAATCATATTAATCAATTATTTTCATAATTAATTATATCCAACTGAAATCCACACGGGCCTTAAGTTTTAGATATTTAACTGCACATATTTAAGAGAAAATCTCCAATTGCATGTTTTTCAGGATGATATAGTTTTTATAGTAGAGTTAAGAGAAGAGATTAATTACAACTTAAGCTATGAAGGACAACCTTAGAGTTGAAGGGTTTCCACTTGAGTATTAATAGAAATGAGAACATTAAGATAAATGTGCGAGCATAAATGAAAAGATAAAATTTAAATAAGTATATGTAAGAAAAAGTGACTGTGGTATTTGGTGAGGGGAATATGGAAGAAAATAGTTTAGATTGTTTGGACATATAAAGAGAAAGTCGTGGGAGGCACTAATAAAGAGATTGGAAATGATAATCTTGAGTTTTGTAAAGAACGATTGAGGAAAACCAAAAAGAGCACTTATAAAAGTTATTTAACAAACCCTTTTAGTTAATAATATGATGGTTAAAGTATACTTTTAATCCTCTAATCTTATAAAGTTTCAGTTAAGTCCCTTAATTTTATAAAGTATCTTTTTAATCCTTTAACTCTGATATCGTTAGTTTCAAATGATTATTTTTTGTATTATTCATTGTTTTTAAAAAAATTAAACTTAATATGTCAATATTTAGGAATATTTTTGTTAATTTTTAAAAGTTTAACGTAAAAATTTATTAAGATGAAACTAACAATGCTATGGTCAAGGAATTAAAATGATATTTTGTATAAAGTTAAATGACTAAATATATACTTTAGCCATAATATGATATTTTTAAAAGTTTGATTGATGATGCAGCACAATGATGTGGTGCAATCTATATAATCAACCCTCATCTCACGAGATATGATTTGTTGTTGTTGTAATTGCATGATAAGTCCACTATTTTTTTTCAATATAACTATCGGAATTAATGAGTCAGACTTAAACATTGTTAAGTTCAATTAAAAAAAATTATCAAAGAAATTTTTTACATTCACATAAATTTAAATCCGAAATTTTGTGTTCAAATAGTCATACACATTCTAATAAGTCCACTTGCCACTGTTAATTATGAAATATGAGTTGGAAAGGGCCAACCCAATATTACCAGATTATGATGTACGGATTATTTCATGACTTCAGTTCGCTAATTTTGGCTAGAGGTCGTTGTGGGAGTATCACGCAAAAATAGTGATATAATAGGATATATAGCACAGATGCCGTAGCCCAATTTATAAAATAGGCCAACATTTCTAGATTTATTATAAGTTTTATCCTTTAAATTTAACGATGAATGTATAGTTATTTTAACAAATTCAAAAGATTATAACTAATAATTTAGGCCAAACTTAATAGACTAACTTAAATAAATCATAAAAATCTTGAGGCTAAGTCAAAAGTTCAGAAAATTTTCTCAACTTGAGTTTTATTTGGGCCACCTAAGTCTAAAGAAATTTAAGCAAATTCCAAACCTAAATGAGCTGAGCCCATTTAAGCCTGAGATGTTAGGGCTTGGTCTAGATATATATGGGTTTTTTAATATATGTTTAGGTATTTTAAGTTTGATTAGAATAAGCCTTATCTAAATTGAGTTTGACTCGTCAGAATTATTGGCTATTAAAAAAGTTTAGCTCTTTTATAAAATGAATGAGTATCTATTTATCATTCTTGACTTAAGAATACCAGAAACTCCTAGAGAAAAGTTTTTGAATATTTTGGCACATAATATTTTTTGCTTCCTTTTTTTTAATGGTTAAAATTAACAGACCTTAGGCAAATTTAACAGTTCAAGGAAGGATGCCCTCATTGAAAAGAGTTCATGGCTACTCTTGCATTTTTTTAACTTAAAGATATTGGATGCTAGCTCTTGGTAAAAAGAGTTCTTATGCATTTTTGCCCTTTAACTCTAGTTTTTTAATGGGGGTAATCATATTGGAATTAGAGTTTGTATTATTTAGATTTACCTAAAAATAGTTGGTTTGATGAATTGTGATTCATGAATATGGTGATACTTTTTTTTTTAATTTAATGGATTGATTATGTTTGTCGGAAGTTACATTAAGAATTAATCGATTTAGTTGTTGATTGAAGTTGATATTTACAAAGTAAATATTTTGGGTAGAACTCTAACTGTAGAAAGTTGAGAATTTGAATGTTTTAAGGTTGTAGATTTTAATTAAGAATATCTAATAAGTTATTTTAGATTAGCGAATGATTGAGATGGGTGTTATATGTGAGAATTGGGAATTTAGAAGAAGTTTCAAATTTAATAATTATACTGTTGTTGTTGTTATTGGAGATTTATTTTTGTGTGCTTGCCTTTGAATTAAAAGATTGTTTAAGTAAACTTTTATACAAGCTTCCAATAAGTATAATGAAATAAAAATTATAATGAAATTATTTGTTATATTACATTGCTAAAAAACCTAGTAAAGTGGGATGACTATTATATTTATGAAGTGATTTATGTGAAACAAATAATTGAGCTTGAGAATTGTCCGTAACTAATTTTATTTTCTCTCATAATGCAACTCTCAGTTGAAGAGCTTGGTGTGAAATTAGTAACGTGGGTGAAACCTATTATTATTTATAACTCATAAGTTCAGTCAAAGTGAATAAAAAAGATTATAAGAGATGTTAATCATTATCATGCATATTTATTATGATTATTATTGTTGATAACTCCTTTCCCCACTTTTTACTACTTGTAATCCATTATTGCATATTTTCTTTTAAATTATCTTTTGGTTATCAGAACATTATCTCACCTCGTTGTTATTAATTATTACAAGTGAAAATTCTAACAGTCATGAAAGAAGGACTTGGGAGGCTTGAGGCTACTAGTTTCCTTGTAATGACCTCTTAGATTTATTTCATGTGCTGGATATTTATATATTGTCAATTAGGAACATTTCCTACTTTGATTATTTATTTATTAATTGTTGTATGAGAGTGCTTGTAAATGACTGAAATCTTAGGTTGTTGCATGTGCCATGCTATTTGAATTGTTGACAATGGAATGATTAATGTTTTGGATATGGACATGATGAAAAAGCATGATTGAAGGTGATGTTATGTGAATTGTAATGTAAAATTGGATTTCAATTAACTGTTTGGGCTTCCAAATACCCTTGCCCACTTGTTTTTTTTTTTTTTGCAATGTCATGTATAGATTAGTTTTTTGTCAATGAAATGAGTTTTTGAAAGGATTATATTTGTGTAAAATATTTTAGTAAGAATTGTT